AACATAGGAGTTTGGGGGGACTCTTCATATGCAAACTCTAGTAGCACCTCACTTCTGAGGGCAAATTGAGGTGAGTAGCTAGAGTCTGAGAATCATATTCCTTGACATGGTGAAAATGGACACCTCGGCCCGAGATCCAGAGGAGAGGCCCACCTGCCAAACGCAGCCTGGACATAGGGAGGAGAGGCATGTCATGGACCCAGAGATACATGGTGAGCCACCCTGCACTGAGGATCCTTATTCACCAAAGCGTGGCTCCACAGCCCAACATCAGGCTGCCACTGCCACAAAACTGGAATATCACTGCTTGTATCAAGGACCACAATAAGGACCTGGTAAGATATCATCAAGGTCCCTGTGAGCCTGTCTGCATCAAAAGTATCTCTACTAGGGGCGATAACAGTTATCCTGTTGCTGAGGTAACAGGGAGTCCTGAGTGGGGTTGCCTATCTCTTATTTCTCCTACTAACAGCCAACTTCAGGTGATTACCCTCTCCCTAGTCATATAACCTAAAACCTCCATATTCTCACATCCTACCTCATAAATATCTCAGCCAATCCCCTAAACCCCCCTTCTACCATCAGAAACTGTAAACCATTATGCAAACCTATTGACTATAAGGTAGAAGATAACCGAACTCATCATTTCTGATTATAATGAAAAAACTGTAAATGTAAAAATAGAAGCTGATATATGGCTGCATGTTGGTACATTGAGTGCTCTAATATTGATCTCTCCCTTAAAAGTGAGGTATTGGTAACCTACAGGGACAGTATAAGACAATAGGGCAGAAGCTGTCATACCTCAGATCTATATTGCAAGAGAGGAAAACTCATAGCCATCATGAAAAAACAAGGGAAGAAAGTGCCCCCAAACAAACCAAGATACCATAACAATAGAACCCATAGATAGCAAAGTAGGTGAAATGTCAGAGAAGTTCAGAATATACATAACTAAAATAATTGTGGAATTAAAGAACAACTTAAGTGAGCAGATACAGGCAAAAAATGATCACTCCAACAAAGAGATAAGAGAGCAAATACAAGTTGCAAGAGATTATTTCAAGAAAGAGATGCAGATATTGAAAAAAAAACAAATAGAAATCCTCAAAATGAAAGAAGCAATAAACCAATTAAAATACTCAATAGATAGCATCACCAACAGACTAGATCACTTAGAAGACAGGACCTCAGACAATGAAGACAAAATATACAATCTTGAAAATAAAGTTGACCTCCCAGTGAAGATAGTAAGAAACCATGAACAGAATATCCAAGAATTATGGGATACTATCAAAAGAACAAATTTAAGAGATTTATAGGCRTAGAAGAAGGTTCAGAGATTCAAACCAAAGGAATGTGCAATCTCTTCAATGAAATAATAGCAGAAATTTTTCTAAGCATGAAGAATAAACTGGAAAATCAGATACAAGAGGCCTATAGGACACCAAATGTACAAAATTATAACAGACCTATATCAAGACACATTATAATGAAAATGCCTAGCATGCAGAGAAAGGATAGAATTTTAAAGGGCACAAGAGAGAAAAATCAGATTACCTATAAGAGAAGATCAATTTGGATCTCAGCAGATTTTTCAACCCAGACTCCCAAAGCTAGGAGATCCTAAAACAACATGTAGCAAGTTCTAAAAGATTATGGATGCCAACTAAGAATCTTATATCTAGCACAATTAAGCTTCAAATTTGACGATGAAATAAAAACCTTTCATGATAAATAAAAGCTGAAAGAATTTACAGCAAGAATGCCTGCTCTATAGAACATTCTTGGCAAAATATTCCACAAGAAGGAAATAAAAATAACAACAAAAATCTGCAAAGAGAAGAACTACAATAAAGGAAAAGCCAACCAAAGTAGAAACCAAGTCAAGCTAAATATTAAAAATAAACAAAAATGACCTGGTAATACAATTCATGTCTCTTTCAACTCTTTTTGATAAATTTTCACACATAAAAATTTTAACTATAATATCATCTAATTTTTCAGGTTTTGGTTTGTTTCATATTTTTTTGTTTTCTGTTTCTCTTCACAAAGTTATACAAATATGTTCTTTAAAAGTTTTAGCATTTTATATGTTATATTTTAATATATAATTTATCTGGTATGTGTATATATATTGCCTGTGATATGAGATGAGGTATATTTTACTCTCTTATAATTTAAAATCCATTATTCAAGATTCAAGGATGAAAAAGACTAATGAGAGTAAAAAATTGTTTAGTAAGGTATTTATAAAGGTAAGGGCAAAGTTGAGGGTAACTAACATATTTTATGAAGCACCTTTCATTCTGTAAACTTGGAGAGGTAGGAAGTGAAATAAGAGAGAGCCATTATGAAAAACTTGTAGGAGAAGGTGACCTGACTGAAGTTATTCCCATCAAAAGCATGTAAAAACCATCTCACAGTCTTATAGGGAGTCTTCTAGGGAGGAATAAAACACCTCATTCTACTCTTGTATATTCTAAGTTCATCGCTTTGGTGTCCCTTTCTGATGGAACTCAACATAACAAGGGGATTTATCATGCAGCATACAGCATATGTCTCACTAAAAGGTGAAAGATGGAGAAAGGAGCTAATATGGCAGCCATTGGTCACACGAGGCCACTGAGTATTTGAAATGTGTCTAGTCTGAATTAAGATGTACTATGTGTTAAATAGACATTAGATTCCAAAGAGTTACTAGGACAAATAAAATGAACATGAAATATCTTACTAACAAATTATTTTCTTTGCAAATTTTGTTGGTAATCCATTGGATTAAATGAATTAATACATATTAATGGTAGTACTATATATCCATATATGTATGTTGTCATTTTTTTATATTTGTGTTATCAAAACTTATATAACTATAAAACTAAGTGGGGTAACTTTTACCATATATAAATTATATATCAACAAACATGACTCTGAAAATAAATCTAGTTCATTAAGTGTTTTAATAGTATTGGGCACATACTAACAACCCGATAAATAATGGATATAATTATGATTCATTAAAACAACCAGCATCAAGCTGTTTCATAGTGGAGTAGTGAGGGGGAGCATGGGAGGAATAGACAAACTCTAGATAGGGCAAAGGGGTGGGAGGGAAATGGAGGGGGCATGGGGTTAGAAATGATGGTGGAATGTGATGGACATGATTATCCAAAGACACAAATAGTTTGAATATACTTTGTATACAACCAGAGATATGAMAAAATGTGTTTTATATATGTAACATGAATTGTAATGCATTCCGTTGTTATATATAACAAATCAGAATATAAAAAAAATCTTCAAAAAAAACCCATTGTGAAAATGACTAAGGTTGCTGCTTGGTGATAGTCCTTCAAACTAGCTCTTGAGACCCATTCTATTGATATCCTAACCAATAGTCTTCACTTTTCTCCTTTCATTCACCACAATGGGATACTAAACCAGTTATTCTATTTTGAGCCACATGACTCCCTCTAGAGAGAAATCCCTGCCCTACAGAGATCAAAGTTGACTTTGATCCACTTGAGATTTGATACATGTCTTACAATCCATTCAGGAGTCTCTGATTTTATGGTCCCTCCTCATCTTCATTTATTTTTCCCCTTTCTAGCCACTCCCTTTTTTCATAGTATATCATGTTAGATAAATTCTTCTTTTGAAGTTCTTCGCACATTACCATAAGATTCTCAGACATAAAACAGACATCAAAAATCTAACAAGGTAATAAGCAAAGAAAAAAGTGTGCAAAGTATTGTTTTAGGCAGTTGGGTCTTTGTCAAGGAAAATTGAGACTGGGATGAARGAACATTCTCAAAATGAAAACCATTTCTGCAATATGGTCTGGTTTGACTCTGGATACGATGAAATAAAGGGTTGGACTCTACCAGGCAAAACTTTGCACGTAATGCTTCCTTTAAGAAAATATTTAAGATTCATAACTACATGTTTGGGAGGTAGGAAGAATGAGCATGATGGGGATAATTGTGCAGATGGTCCAGTTTAGCCCCCTCTAGCCCATTGTATATCCTATTTCTACAAAGTAAAATCCTAATACCTAGCATAGAATCTGGAGAGGAAGAAGGTACACCTGAAATCTTTAAGTGTGTGACCAAATCCTTCACCATGTGATTTGATTGAATCCTACATTTTCCATGTTCTAAGACCTTAAAAAAATAATAGATTAGGAAAAAATAAATTTCCGACATTTTCCATCAATCTAGGTAATGAATTTAAACTATCTTTTACAGATTTTTTGCAAATTTTATTTTCCTGCTAGGGTCTGCCACATAAAATGTTTAATATATTTTTCTTGAATAAGAAGACCATAAAATGACAAATATACCCCATTTTTACCTGAATATTGTAAAACAGACTTGTTAATGGTCTGGGACAAAAAGCATAAAACAGTATCACTATATGCAAAAAAAATATTTAAAGAGTTTTAGACTAGAGAAAACAAGTAATTAGACATTTTTGTTTCATCTACAAGTGAAACACACACTACATAAAACAATCAATCAATTCAAGGAAAAATTTTTACAGCTTATTAAAGTTCTTTGCTTTTATCAAGTCACTTTAGATTTTGGAAAAATCTGAAGATGCATATATATGCATCTGTATGCATTTTAATATTTCTATTACTTTGCAATTTGCAACAAAATAATTATAGAGCTAGGTTTGATGCACATCATGCTTTTTCTGAGATAAAACTTGACTTTATTACAGAAAACAAYGTAGAAGTCAATCTCAGTAGAACAATTTTTTTGCTTAACAAAGGCTTCAAGATACAGTGTATTAAATGATTTACAAACTCAAGAAAAGAGAAGAAACTGAATAGCTTCTGAGATTCCTTAATGGGKTTTGACCTGCATTTTCAGTCTCTTTAATTCAAAATAAAATATGTTCATCAGAGAACCTCTTATGTTTGCAGTTAAATTGCCCCCCCCCACCAATTTAACAATAAAAAGAGAAATACAAATATCATCAAAAGCTGCACTTACCATAAATGCCTGTGGAGATGCAGGGAAATGCCTGTGAACAAACCACAAAAATAACAATAAATTTTAAGGGAAGGCTCTGCCAGACATCATCTATCTTGACAATTGTCTTGCTTGATAATAGGATACYCTCTACTTGCATCCTCAGAATAATAAGCTGGAGTAAGAGATATTAGAAATGGGGATGTTCGATTAACTGAAATATTTTCTTTATCTGCAATTCCACCAATTCTTAAAATCCAACTGTTAAATTATCAGGAAACTTGTGAGCCATTTGTTAAACAATTAGTATTAAGAAATTACATCACATTAATATCCAATGAAATAGATTATATTAAAAAAAGATAACCAATAATCAGAGTTCATTCTTTCTAATTAGTTTGTCACATTTAAATATTACTTATGCTCTGGAGATTATTTATGTCTATCATATTTGTACAGTGGAAATACCACATAATGGTTGCTCCTGAGAATCTCTGCTCAGCTGTGTATTATATGATGTTGCCTTCGTGGCTGGAAACCTGAAATCATTAGTCAATATTCATGTCCCATATCATGGACCAAGTGAAACCAGGCTACAGATATACAATTTTGGTAAACTTTGCCAAAAGCATTTGGTGAAAATCTATTGTCTATTTAAAATGTATAATAAGAACTATTCTGTGTTTTTTTTTATTGGTCGTTCATAACATTACATAGTTCTTAATACATCATATTACACGGTTTGATTCAAGTGGATTATGAACTCCCGCTTTTACCCCGTATACAAATTGCTGTATCACATCAGTTACCCTTCCATTGATTGACATATTGCCTTTCTAGTGTCTGATGTATTCTGCTGTCTGTCCTATTGTCTACTATCCCCCCTCCCCTCCCCTCCCCTCCCCTTTTCTCTCTCTACCCCTTCTACTGTAAATCATTTCTTCCATTTGTATTCTCTTGTCTTACCCCTCCTTTCCTCTTATTCTTATATGTAAATTGTATATCAGGAAAATTTTTAAAAAACTTATATAGTACATATGCAGTTTTTTTACTATGAGAGCTGATCTTTAAACACTGACAATTACTTTTTATATCATATTTTGCTGAGCAATATTTTTTTAAAAATTATTTAAAAACATGGATGAACAAATGCAAATGTACATTTTACTTTAAATTGGGCTTTATAACTGTAGAAAGTGATCTGGGTGTGGCAATGTCTTTTCCCTATGCACTTCTGTGTAAATTCAATCAAGTTGTTTTAAGCCTTCTCATCTTCATGTTTTTCAATTGTATAAAACCCTCAATATAGAAATGTGTCATGGCATTAATGATAGAATTTTTAAAAAATTCTCTGCTAGACTGTAAAAACTGTAGCTGCTGTTTACCCTAACAACTAACATTATTGTTAAGGTCAATGACAATTAATAACAAAATATCTAAGTTGTTTTTCTTCCTATCTTTGGGTTAATGTGTACTGGATTTTATTTTCTATAACATTTTATAGACCAAATGTCTATTTCTTTTAGATGGTGTCTTACTGAAATCACCAAAATTTGTGTGATTTTGTTTTAAAGAGGGTAATAAGTGACTCTATTAAGCTCAACTACATGTTCATAAAATGATAGATTTTGTTTTCTGCTCCTGCAGAAACTTTTACTAGTAAATACTAAAGTTTACAATAAAAATATAGGACAATTTCAGGGACATAGTTGATGCTACTTTTTTATTGTATTGAGCTGTTTTGGTTCCAGGGTTATTTTTATTTATATACTTACTTATTTTGTGGAGCTGGAGGTAGCAAGAACTCTACCCTTGGGCCATCCCCCCAGCTACCCTTCACCAGGGTTCTAGAGGTATGACTATGAATCAGAAGGTTCTTGACTAACTTAGTTTAACCCAAATGACACAGAAGCTAGAGTATGACGCAAATTATGAAAACACAGTTGTCTCTTTACACATTCACCCAGTTTACCAAGAGGTCATAATCTCAGTATCAACTGCAAGCTTACTGGAAGCAACTTGTTACTCATAATAAAAGTTCAGAGTTGAGGAATGATCTACTGAAATACAAACTAGAGAAAATTCAGGATTATCTCTATAATTTGTACTGTGTCACTCATGTCCCACTGCACCTTTGAAGTTCAATAGAGAGAGGTAAGCTCACAGCTCAAACTCCAGGAATTCTATGGGAGCAAATTGAACATGTGAGCATCCTCCTTTGGGATTAGAGAAAAAGAAGGGTTTGAGAACTGCTACATCAAGCCACCTAGGAACGGGGGAGACAACAATTTTCCTCTACTGACTTAAAATTTTACAGCTGGTGCTGAGAATTGAATTGACATAACACAGATCATCAGGAGAAAGTCATACAAATTTATTTAATACAAGTTTTATGTGGCATTGAAGTTTTCATAGGAAATGGGGACCCCCACGATGCTATTAAACACTTGCATGCCGACTTGAACAAGGACTATTGAGTTGTGAAAATGTGACAAAGAAAAGGGGCATGGGTAGAGTAGGCAAGTGGGTGGAGAAGTCACTAGGAAAACAAGGTTAGTTTAACATAAATTGTAGATATTTCCTTCAGCCTCAGCTCCTGGTCTTTATTCTCCTTCTGGTAYAGGGACAACATATCTCATATCAGAATTTCATCTGTTGCTTCTAAGAGGGAAATTAAAAATGTTCTTTTACCAGAACCTTCAACTCAGAATAGTCAAGATGGTGGAGGGGTGTATTKGGGGGTGATATGCTTTGAACACCTTCAATGGGAAAGCAGAAGRTAATACAATGTTTTCAATAAGCAGACCCACTTTAAATCTCACATCAGTGTCCTTCCAGTTCATGAGGTGGGGCAGTTTCCTTAATTGCTCTGAGTTTCCTACCAAACTACAAATGAGTTTCCTCATTAGTAAAGATATGTCATGAGACCCACCTCCAAGGGTTTGTGGGAGTCTTAAAAAGAATAAGGAACAGAGCGTGGTGTCCACAAGCAGTAATATCTTGAACTAATAATGATTCCTGGAGTGGACACAGTGATATTGCCCACATTGTCTCAAAGAGGGACTTGTCTAAGAGCAGGGCTTTCCTACCTTGGCACTATTGATGGATCAGGTAATTATTTGATCTTGGAGGCAGTCCTGTGTATTTTTAGCAACATTTATGGACACTACCCATTAGCTAGAAGTAGCATTTTTCTAGTTGTGACAATCATAATATTTACAGGGGCCAGAGCTTTAGCTCAGTGGCAGAACATTTGCCAAACACGTGTGAGGCCCTGGGTTCGATCCTTATCACCACATAAAAATAAATAGGTAGATAGATAAAGGCATTCTGTCCATATACAACTACAAAAATAACTTCAAAAAATATTTACATTGTAAAATATCCCCTAAGAGAGAAAACCACCCCCTAGAGAGCCAATTCTCTAGAATCGAGGGACTAAAACCTGGGGGTACTTTCACCTTCAACTGTGGTCCTTTTCAAGGATTTCTTTGGCTGCTGATCCACCTCACTCAGGATCATGTCCTTCTAGGATGTCCCACCATGACTAACTGATCAATGAAGGATAAAAAGGCCTGGACATCTTAGTTCAATCAATGCAATAATGAGGGGCCCTTGTAGTAGCAGAGCTCCCCATGGGGGAGCAGGGGCTTGGCACTGGACCTCTATCACAGCTCATCTTGCTCAGCCCACTCCTGACACATTCCTCCCTCTTCCCCCTCCTGCCTCTTTCCTCTCTCTTTCCCAGGAGTTGATTCCTTAGTAGACATCCAGCACCCTAAACTCTGTCTCAGAGTCTGTTTCCTGGGGAATTGATCTGAGTTATCTACCTCTGCTTCCCTCTTGGGTCCATTTATATGCACTCTTCCTCCATCAGATATAGCAGAAGAGAGAACATACTGAGGAGTTAATAGCAACTTCCATTTGCTTCAGCTCCCAATTCTATCTTGGAATCAATCATGCAACTTAATAATTGAGTCTGGCTATACCAACTGCCTTGTCTGTTTTAACGAGGACAAATGGCTTCATCTGAAGATGACATYGTTGCCTTAAATGTGAAGGCAAATGGTAATGTAATGGAGGATGACTTTGGTAATATTATTGTGTTAACTCAAACAAAAAGGCAATGATAAAGCAGAGATGAAAATACAATATCATGGAAAAATTCATCTTACATAAAATAAGTTTGCACATAATTCATCTAAACTAAATCTCCTCCATGAATCACTTTTTATTACTTCTGAGAGAGGGAGACACAGGGGAGAATGAGGAAAGAAAGGGTGGGGGAAGAGCAAAAGAGAGAGAGAGCGCGCAATTGCAAACCATCAACTAAGGGATTTTGCAGTACATAGTCTGTGTGCTCTGTCATAATAAATTTCTGATGGGGCCACCAGAAATGAGATGCACAGATGCCCTTATTTTATATAGTACTAACTAACTCTAAAAGCAAGAAGTCTCTGGGCTAACAGGTCTCATCATATAACCACTAGAAATTTGCATTATAGAATTTGACTTTTAGCAAAATTCTCTCCAAAACTGTTTGCTTTCTTAGGAAACAAARAATAATCATTTGACTTGGTGTGCAGAGAGGATTTTTCCTTTGTGAAATTATAGCTTGGGCCACTATCTGGAAAATACTTCCTTAGTCCAGCATATTGGTTCAAAGCACTTATAAAAATACTGAAATCCTTAAGCCTATGGATTCTTTCTTCCATCCTGTTGAGTGTCTCCATTTCTCTCCTTTCTGTCTCAATAAGTTGAGGGCAAAAAAGGAAAGCCCTCTGTCTTGACTCTCAAAGTGTCTTAAAACCAAGGCAACAAACCCAAAGCTAACAGCATAACTACCACTTGCTTTTATGATTTTTGATGAGAATCCCAAGGATTTTTTTTTCCTCTGATCTTTATCCATGGTCATATCATCCACTCTCACACAGCAGACTTGCAAGCTGGATAGCACCGACACTCCACCCCTTAGCTCCAAGGGAAAGTGTTGATTGACCTAAGTAAGTAGCATACAGCACCACTTAGCCACAAGGATGAAATGATGCAGAG